ATTAGTCATACTGATATGGAAGCATCCTCAGCAGGGATGGGGTAATCGTAATCGAGTAATCGTAATCGATTATAATGATTACTTTTTTTCAAGTAATCGACAGTAATCTGTAATCGAAGAGATTTTTCGATTACTTGTAATCGTAATTTAATCGATTACAGCTAAAATTTTCAAAGTAATTATAATTACTTTTTCGATTACTTTCGATTATTTTATACACAAATGGATGTTATTTTGGAGAATTATTTACAGTCAGTCACCCATAAATATCAGATATAAACCTCCTATAGTGTAATGTTTGGATTTCCTAACTTTTATTATCATAAGTTTAATAATGTTCTCAATAAAATTTGCATCATAGACCTACTGGTCTAGTATTTAATAATTCAGAAGTGTATTTCAACCATTTATTAATAGAATATACAGATTTTTCGTGTGCATTTTACATTTGACCCACTGTCCTCTTGCTTCATGTCCTTTTTCATATTTCAGATGTTGAAAAACTTTGTCTTGTAATAGAAAATTATAAATAGCAAAAACAGATTTAAGTGTTGTAAAAAATTCATATCTGGAAATGTTTAAACAATTTCAAACTTGTGCTTTAGTAACTTTAAAATTGCAAAATCATTTTCATGTTTTCATTCAAAATTGTAAGGATGTTTTTATATCAGTGAGAGGTTATAAGTGACTGTTAGAGAGGGAGTGTGTCACTGTGTTTGCTTATCTTAATTGGCTAATTAATTGACTGAGACATCCCTGATTGGCAGATAATGAGGTGTAAACTGTGAACTACCTAGTGTTTAACTTTCATTCCATTGAAGACAACAATATTACTAAAACAATTGATAGCTCTCAAAACACTTATTTCAAAATAGAATGAAATTGTGCTATTAATTTAATTACTTAAAGACACATTTAATCTACATGTTTATTACCAAGAGTTATAATTTACTAAATTTTTGTAAAAGACACGTACAGGAACTTTTAATGTGTACCGTCAACATACGGGCAGCCCAAATACTTCTAATGAAGTAATTCACAATAAAATATTAAATAATTTTTGCAACAAGTCAATAAATATGGAGGTTCAGATCCAAGGTTGAAAGGAATAATTGATACCTTGGCATATTTTATTCAAGGAATCGTGTCTCCACTTTCCATGGTAGAGAATCCCTCATTTGGGCATTTAGTGAGAATGTTAGCCAGAATAAAACCTTAAAAGAATCTGCACTGAAACTGCAGGAACACATTCAAACTTCAGTGGATAACATCAACATTTAGTGATTTACCATTAAATATTGCTTTGATATTTGAAGGGATAAAAACTTTAAAGTAATCGATTATTAATCGATTACAGTACAGGCCACGAGTTTTCCCCGTCGCACGGTGGAAAACACACCGTGTGAAATGCTCTGTGTTACACCGTGTACACGGTGTAGCACGGTGTGCGTGGATTTGAAATACACAGATAGGCACACCGTGCCGCACCGTGTCTAGAAAAATCCCTCCATGCCGCACCGTGTCCATAAATCATTTTGTTTTGATAAAATATTTTAAGATTTTAAAACAATTATCACATTGATTTATATCTATAATTATCGTTTTCTAATCTAGAAGACATTGACACGTGTTCTGAATTGTACCAATGATACATGTAACAGGATTAAATATCAGTAACAGAAATATTAAATGGAGTTAAATTTACCGTTCGCCCAGAAGGTTAAAAAATATAGGTTATTTCAACTTTTTGTGTGCCGTGGTTAAGTTTTGTTAAACCAATCATTAATGAAGGTTAGAAAGTCTATCAAGCATTCGTGTTTTCGGTCACATTTCACCTTCGCGGAGCTTCCTCCATGCTTAAATTTTCAAATGTGGAGAACCCTGAAAGGCCGACCAGGATACGTAAATAGCTGACTGTCTTCAACAGAAGATAGAATCGATGAAAATAAATTAGCATACCTTTTTAACAAACTTGAACTTCAAATGAATCATACACAGTATTCACGGCATTTGCTTCTAAACCCCATTTTATGTATCTTTTTACATGCCGTTTTAGCCAAAATTCTCGTTACACAACATGATCAATTCTCAAGTTTCTTGTTGAACAGTTATGACGTCATCGGTCGGGGATTTTAATTCAAGTGACAGATACAGCATAACAAAATAAAAACATTTAATTTTTGTTAATATTTGCAAGTTTCTATTCATTTTCAGGAGTTATATTATATCTCTAAATAACAATATTAAGAAAACTTGTGTTCTAAAATTGACATCATCTCGCCTACTATGACGTCATCTTGTATCACTGATTTAGTCAAGTCAGATTATCTTAGTGCTTCCTTAACACACCTGCGCATTTAATAAGTTATTTTTGTCTCATTTTGATTTATTTATTATTTACAAGTCTATCTGATCATTCAAACTATGAAAGTACTTTTTATATTATACAACAACATTTCTTGCATAATTCTCTTAGTGTATTTACTTTCAAATACAGTACCGACCAGACACAACCTAACAGAAAGCGAACCCAGAGCGCACCCCGGGTTCGCTCTCTGGGTTTGCTTTGGGTTTGCTTGGGGTCCGCTAGGGCTGACCCCCGAGCAAAAGCGTTTGAATGTACAGTGCAAAAATATTATTAATATGATTTTTAAACATGATATATTTATATATTTTAATTCTCCAGACAGCATGCAATATTTACATATTTATTTTTATTATTTTATTTTTAAAATCTATCGACACATTATATATATTTATTATCCAGGTAGCATGTTACATGTATAGTTACATATTTATTTTCTTTATATTTTTAAAATCCATTAATATACAAATATACATTGCGTAAAATATCAGACAATAGGTACTTTAATGCATAAAAGAAAGAGAAAAAGAGGATAATAATGGTTATAACAATTGTTACCAAAAAAAAAAAAAAAAAAAAAAAAAAAAAAAAAAAAAAAATCCCAACGTACAGTATAAGAACTGTATCTTTAATTTAATTATTTTATTATTATTATTTCAATTACATGTACGTTTTAATTTATCCAGATCAAAATTATCGATCTTAATAATTGATCTTGAAAAAAATAAATAAATGTGCATTGTACAGTATAAATGAGCATTATGTCAATTCGTAAATTGGAAAAAAATCTTATTTTTTAAAAACTACTATGATATTTTTTTTTCATTAATCTTTTACCAAAAATTAATAAATAGCTTGATTTAAATACATGTATATAGGGAAATATTATTTTGTCAATTCTATTTATCCTACATGTAGATCTTACAGTGTATGTTTTTGAATTTTTGTAATTACTTGCAAATCAGTCCAAAAAAGACAAAAATGCATATCACTTTCTTTTGCGTCGATATACCGTATATACTCGCCTTTAAGTCGGTCCGCCTATAAGTCGGTTGTAATTTTTAAGGTTATTTTGGAAGGATTTGCTACTGACCCGCATATAAGTCGGTACAACTTTTTGCAAGAAACCGACTGACAATTTCAAATCAATGTTTTAATGATGTTTTAACCTGGTTTAAGTAATTTTTTTAAGAAATGACGCCAATATTTTAAAATTAAAAAAAAAAAAAAAAGAAATGCAAAGTTTAGATAAAATCAAAATTATTGAAATATGTAAATACTTGTACTTCATGCATAATCCTAGAATACAAAATGATATAATATATCCAGACTTTATACAACGATAATCGTCGGACACGTTATAAAATACTTTATTTTGCTGCTCAAAATAATGTCAATTTTTTATGGCTCGCCTAAAAGTCGGACATAGAGTTTTGGACCAAAATTTAACTCCCCAAAAAAAGACTTATAGGCGAGTATATATATATACTCTATATATATATATACAGGTACCTATGAAAGCTTTTTTGTTAAGATACTCTTATCAATTTTACTCCATCCGATACATCGAAAATAAATTCAACACCTTTTCTTCTTTTTTTCCCGACATACTTGTAAGTTAAGAAAAATAAAAGTGATAATTATACGTCGAATATACGGTGAAATTCTTGAAAAATTATCAACGTTATCCATATTGTCACTTATATGTACATGTTTCGATCGCCATAAAAACAACAATGTTCGATTTCACGACTGTATTTGGAATATACAAGGGGCGGGGCTTACTGGCGGCAAGATTAAAGCGTGGTCCGCTTCACGCATGAGTGCGTAAAGCGAACCCGGAAAGCGAACGCTGGGTTCGCTCTAGCGGACCCAGAGCTGACCCCGAGCGAACCCGAAGCGTATCCAGAGCGGTCCCAAAATTTCTGAAAGCGGACCCGCAGCGGACCCCAAAGCGAACCCAGGGTCCGCTTTGGGTTCGCTCTGGTGTTAGGTTGTGTCCGGTCGGTACTGTACATATTACATTATTTACAGTGATTAATTATCAAAAGTGAATGGCAAAGGGGAATAACTTCTCTCAGTAGAAAACAAATTAATAGAGCGCTGGCCAGGACCAGAACACTTGATCAAATGGTCCTCATGTTCAAAAATCTGGTAAAAAATATCCTTGCTTATTAAAACTTCTATTCTGTTTGCCTGCGATTTGCCAAGAAGCAGAAAAGATTTTCAAAGAAATAATGCATTTTCACTACAGATTCAACACACCCTATCCTAACACTAAAACCCATGTCCCAGGGTCATGAAATTCACAAATTTGGTAGAGGTATCCTCATCATCATATCTATGCACTCAGTTGAGGATTTTCAAAGAATTAACACATTTTCACTATATTATGAATATAGCCCCCCCCCCCCCCCGGCCCCTTCCTACGAAACACCAAAACCTGGAACCACAAGTTTAAAAAAAAAATGTAAGAAGCACATTTGTTCATCATAACTATGCACTTTGTTTATCTGCTCAATACTAAGGGACAGACAGGATTATACAAATATACACTGCGTAAAATATCAGATGTTATAATTGAAATCTGAAAATATAGAGCTTTTCTTTTTTAGGTAGACAGTTACAGTAAACCATGGATAAAGCCGAGAAGAAGAAAATACAGAAAAATTGGAGTTATCTTAAAGAAAACATTGATATAGAAAGTACAACCTTTCTTGATACGTTATTTGAATCTGATATTTCTCAGGATGATTTTGAAAGAGTTAAGGCCGAATGTACGAGTGGCGATAAAATTGATAGGTGCCTGCGCATACTGTACACAAAGACAAATGGTTACAGTGGGTTATGCCGTGCGTTAGAATCCAGTCACCATGATTTTGTACTGGAAACTCTCCAGAAAACTGTAATAAACTTAAAAGAAATAGAAGAAGGTAAACTAACCAACTTAGTAATATTATATTATTTAGAGGATAGAGCAAATGGGGCATAATGTTTTTTTCGTGAACACTTTCGTAGATGACTTTACGTCATTATCTCCAATTCAATGTTTTTTTTTGTTTTTTTAATTTGAACATGTACGAGTGGGTTTTTTTTTTCCAGAGGAACAGAAGACTATTGACACTCTAAAGGAAATTTTGCATGATTACTATAGAGCAGACCAAACTTGCTTTGTGATGAAGAAGGATATTGAAGATGATGTTCATTACGAATTCAGTCAACAACAGCAGTCCTCTGATTGTGATTCTTGGGACTATATATACAGAACATTGAAGGAAGAGTTTCCAGATGTACAATATAAGCAAAAGAAAAGGTACAATTTTCAGCAATAGATAAAACACTGTGTATACTTATTTATTACTGTCCGACAGAAAGATGTTTTGTTTTCTCAGACTTCTGCGACATATTGTAACCCTCTCTTTTCTATGTTTATTATCAAATGCTTTGACAGAAACAAATATAAATGACAAAGCTGCATATTTCCAATATTGCCAGTTAACCTTCCCGGTCTAGAAGTAACATTTAGTTTAAACAAAGTGAAAAAAAAATCGGACAATCTTGGAATTGAACTCCGGTAGTGACTGATCTAAAAAAAATCTTTAAACTATGCAAATTTGTGTGAAGGCATAAAGCATGGACCCTTGGAAACTCCAGAAGTTGGATAAGGTGCCTAGGAGGAGTAAGCACCACCCGTTAACTGGTCACTCCGCCGTGAACCCTGTGTATTGATTAGCTAACCATCACGCCATTAGAACCGCCGCTTCCAAGTGAAAAGTGCCATATATCTAGAAAATTGTTTTGAAAGAAATATAATATATTACCTCTACAAATGTCATAGAAAAACAATTTTTTTAAAAATAAAAATCGAGTTTTGAAATTCACTTCCGTAAGCGACCGGATGTGTCGAAAACAAATAAAAAGTAGCGACAAAGCGAGTTTCGATAAAGATCTATACTCCCTGAAAGTCTCATCTTGATATCTCGCTTTTGTTCAGATAAGGGCAAAAAATTCTAATTTCAGAAAATGGTATTGACTTTCTTTTCATTTCAATTTTCAAATTTATATCAAATAAACATACAATATAAATATATATACCTAGGAAAAATATTTTATTGAATATAGCAATATAAAAGTGCTATATGGAGTTGTAGCGTAACGTAATACTGAGCTGTCTGGAGCTCTTGTGTCCCTGTGTGCCTAGTAAAGGTCAAAATTTGAAGCTCTTCACTGGTGTTTGGTGAAGTCTCTATATGAGTGAAAATCTCGAACGGTACGTAAAACAGCAATCAATCAATCATTTGAGTACTCTATGGAGCATAAGGAAAAAATGAATTTTTCAGCAAACAAAATTGCGTATTGCCTAGTCATTAACATGTAAAAGACTTAGGTATAATATATAAATTCACATTATTTGCGCACATATTGAAGTGATAAGCTGGGGATACTTCATAACATTCAGTATATTAGTTTCCTTGCAAAATTGTGACTGACTGTTTTGCTTTTAATTAGGAAGGAAAGGATCTTTGGAATTAAAAGAAAAATAGATTTTTCCAGTGACGAAGACAACTCAGTATCTGACCCGGAAAATGCAGAAAGATTTGTTCGGAATATGAATTTAAAAGACCATACAGGTAAACGAGAAAAGACTTAAGCATTAACTTACTGCATACTTAGTATCCACAAATATTCTTGTGATATGCTCACCCGAGCTTTCTTTTTATCCTGATCAAAATTTGTCCGTAAATTGGTATCCATTAGAATTCCAACAAATTTTTAGAAGACCTGATCTCGAATATATTTTCAATCACAAAGCCGTTACAAGATATAGACAAAAATGCACTATGCGGTATCTTAAGGGCAAGTTTCTTAATAAGATTATCAACCATAAATTTTTAGAGATCTTGGTAAAAGAGGAAGTTAATGGGAGGATCTGGTTTATCTAGAAAAAATCTTTTCCCAAAGTTTTCTACATTATTAATATTCGCAATGAAATGATTTAGACAGAAGAAAGGGTATTTGTTTGGACAATCAGTTTAAATCAGTTTTTTTTTAGGAATGAATTCGGTTGCAGAGGATTTCAAACCAAATTAACAACTTAAACAGTTCAAAATTGTACTTGTATATTAATTCATATTTTTTGTTTAATTTGTTTAATTTTTTTCATAGATAATGAAAGCCAAGGAAAAACGTCTACAATCACAAAATCATTAAAGGATAAAGACGTGCATGGCCTTTGTAATATCTTGAAAGCCAGGTTTCTAGAAAAAGGAATTGAAAAATCCATTTTAGAAACTTTTGTAAAAGAGGGCGTTAATGGGGAAGTATTTTGTACGCTTTCAATTGAGGATATGCACTATCTATTTCCGAGAGAAAACTTCCCTAACTTTTCATTTGGGCAAAGAAAACTCATCATTAACATTCGTGATGAAATGGTCCGGGCAGAAAATAATGTACCTCTATTTCCTGATAACCAGCCGGAGGAAGAACAGTCAGGTATGAAAGATATTGGTCAGGGGGCAGAATACCCAACAGATTATGCGATTTCAGACAAATTTCGCGAAACGTTTCGAAAATTTGGATTTGCCGCCAATGACAGAGACAAATATATTTTTGATTCTATCCTTACATCAGAAAACCAAATCACCAACAGTCTTTTGGAAACGGTGCACAATTTTATGTATGAAGAAATGGCTGAATCTTTAATCCCAGGATGGATAGCTAGAACATCCATACCTTTTATTGCTAGCTGTCTGAATGAACGTATAAATGGTACCATTCATTTTGGAGTGAAGATACTATCCAATGAAGGCCTATTAAAAGGAAATATAATCGGACTGTCTGCAAACAAACAAAAGATAAAACGATGTATTTATGAAGCTCTACGGAATGCCTTCTTTGACGATGATTTTGAAATTGTTAGTCGATGTGTGCAACCTCCCCAATTCATCCCTGTTGTAGATTATGAGGAGGGTAAAACAGGAAAACGCTTTATTATTGAAATAGACATAATTCCTAGTTCTACCCTCGTAGAAGAGACTGCATTCTTTGTGAGAAATCCAACCATCTCCTCAACGAAAGTACCAAAAAGATGTCTGTTTAGATTTAAAAAAGGAACAGCCATTCCAATGATTCTGTCAGATGAACAAGAACATTCATTTATGAATACTAAGTCCAAATTATCCCAGGAACGCAGAAATCAGGAAGAAAATAGGAATCAGTCATCTTCAAAGACTCAAAACCTTCGCCAACAGTTTTTAAATTTATTTTCAGCTGGAAATGACGTATTACTTGAGGAAATTTATCCTATTTTATTTTTAAGTCCACTGGGCAGTGATATAGGAGAGGAATTCACTGCAGAGAATTTTGAATTTCTAAATGACATCGATCCCAGTGTTATATTTGATTTTGACTCCTGTAGTGAAGGGAAGGGCATGTTCCATTTCGTTGAAGATGATCAAAAGAAGATCTTTAAAGTCCTTACTACGGATACATTTGATAAAAACAGTGAAGAAAACGTGGGTAAAGACACCTTAAACAATGCCTTAGAAGACTTGAGAACATCTGCTATCAAGCCATGGGTATTCTGCAATGGTTATCAACCCATTAGAAAAGACCCTTTCAAAAAATTAGCATGGAAACAAAGCAGAAGCAATGGATTTAAAGAGGCAGTTCGTTTTTTCTATGGGGAAATACCGGAAGATCGTGCTATTATTGTATTCCTCCTTTTTTCGAAAAACTATGATATTATGTTGGACGCTGCAGATGAAGTTTTGTCTAAATTTCCAGACCAATGGCTTCTTCTTGCTACAAATGAATCAATTGCCAATAACTGGAAAGAAAATTTATTAGACAGAGAAAGTGTAGACAAAAAGACTTTGGACAAACGATGCGTGATAGGGATGCCATGGAAACATGTAAATGAAATGATAAAAAAGGTCATGGGAACAAAAGAAAAATCTGTAAGTGAAATAGCAATATCAACTGGTGGATGCTGCCCCCTGAAAGAAAAAACAAAGAATGAACTATTTGATCTTGAAATTTTGTGTGCTAATGAGTGTGATAACGATCTCAGCGTCACAAAAGAAAATGAAGAACAACACAGAAAGATCGTTGAAGAGGCTTTCTTTAGAGGAGGTGTTGTGCAATGGTGGAACCTCTGGTTCGAAGAGGATCACGTTTTAAAGCGCCATATACACAAACGCTTGGTGGAGGAAATTTGTAATATTTGTGAAGGGAATGAAATGGATGATGAAAGCAAAGTGAGTATTGTTCGCTTAGTTCATCAACCAGGTGCTGGTGGCACTACTTCTGCTAAACAAGTCTTATGGGAACTTAGGGAAAAATATCGATGTGCGGTAGCTCGTCGAATTACTGAGCAGACCTGTGACCAAATTGAAAAGTTCAGATGCTATGAAGAATCAGAAAACCCCAAACCACCAATTATTTTCATAGATAACGAGGACGAGGAAAAATTAACAAATCTCTTTGCACGATTAGAAAATAGGGCGAGAATCCTTTCCAGAAGAAGTGAAATACCATGCAAGGTGTTCTGTGTATTTCTTCTTTGCTTTCGATGTGCAAATCTTCCAAAACATTTGCTTGATCATACATTTCAGTTACGTCATGAGCTGAATGAACAGGAGCTAAAATGGTTTCGTAGTAAAAATGAAAAGCTTGAAGAACAGTTTAAAACTAAAGGAGGCGTTAACCCAATGTTACTTATTTCATTCAACATGCTGAAAGAAAATTTTAACAAAGATTACATAAAGAGAGCTGTGCAAGAATTTGTGGATGATATAAAAAACGAGCAAGAACAAGCTTTGCTTTGTTATCTTTCTCTGATGAATACATATGACTTAGATTTTCAGTCTGTGCCAATCAGTGCTTTCGATCCACTAATGTCAAACTTTAAAAACATTAGAAATGTAGCTTTTGGTTCGGTTACTCAACAGAGACGAGGATTTCGGGAAACATCATGGGAAGTCAATCTCAATCCTTCATTGTTGGTGCTTGTAAATAGAAGTGCAAGGGTGGATTTCAGCAGTCAACTAAAAGGGTTTTGCATCATTAACCAATTATTTGCAAAAGAAATATTTACCTATATTTCATCAAAGAAAGGTATAACAACAAGTGCAATGATGATGCAATTTCTGGATTCAGCACTTTTTAAATCGTTTAACAGGTCGTACGAAGCTCTCAAAAAGATGGTCAAAGATATTATGAAGAAGCGTGAATTGTTATCTACGGGAAGAAAAGAAAACTTTTCAAAGCTTATTATGGAGGTTATAAATAATGAGAGCGTAGACAATGCTGCTAAAATCTTGGAAAAGGGATTCGACATGTTCAATGACGCAATGATTGCTCAGCAGATAGCACGACTGTACATGCATGCTAAGAACTGGGAACAAGCTGAAAAGTATGCAAAAATTGCAACACAGATGAAACCAGAAAACTCATATCTATGGGATACATATGGTCAGGTATTTAAACGCCAGTTGACAGACATGTATTTGGAAACGTCCAAAGAAATGACAGACTTGCAAGAGAAAGATGCGTTTGAAGCAATTCAGCTCGGTATCAAAGCAATAAAGAATTTTAATAAAGAACAAGAAAAAAGTGAAAAAGAACATAGCCCAAAATTAAATGACGCTGGGTACTTCGCTGAGTTGCGCACGGTACTGATATTACTTGAAATTCTGCATTTTTGTCCCGAAACGAATGTCCCTAGTGATCTTAAAAGATTTCTCAGTGACAGTCATTTTATACCAAAAATTTTCGAGAATTTGCCATCAGAAGACTTAGAGAGCATAAAAAGCTTTCAGTTTCGAACAAACGACGTTATGCGAATAATTGAAGAGCAAAGTTCGCAATTGAAGAGCGATATAATGACCAATGCAACTGTTTGTAAACCAGACTTTACACAACGAAATTCTTTAGCAAACTTGAGGGAAAATTTAGATAACTATTTTGGAGAGGATTCTGACAATATTCCTGCATCGTTAAATGCTCAAGAAAGGGCAGAGTTTATTCGACGAAGAGTTCGAAGACTTGTCGGGAATACATTAACAACATTATTAAGAATGAAATCAAAAGGAGAAGGACCATCGATACTAAAAAAGGTTGAAACTTTGCTGTTTGAAAACTGTAAATCACCATACTGCACATTAACTGATGTGAGATTATTGGTAGGTGTTTCTATCGTGAGGAATCTTTCCGAGGAAAACAGAGATAAAGAATATAGAGAATTGCTGCAGTGGAGTAAACGGGCCCTAGACATGACTGGAAAAACAGAGGAGAGACCATTTCTAGAGTTATACATGTTTCTAGTTTTGTTGCACTGGCCAACATTTCAAAGATACGAAAAATTTGCAGACGAACTGTGTACAATAAAACAGTTGCAAGATGTCATCAAAAAATGGAAAAATATATTTTTCCAGATTTATCCAAGGCAGCGTGAAGACACTTTTTTGCATCGAGGAGATACTACATTTTTCTTCCTTGGGCGTGGATCAGCATTTAGCGAGATAGTACACTACGAAGATCTTCATGAAAAAGGTGACTCTCGGTATTTTCGAGGAGATTCAGTATGGAGAAAGCAAAATGTTAGAGATCGACTTCAAAGGGTGCAGGGGCATTTAAAACCACAGGGTTTGGAAGTTATAATCGATATTAAGAGCCAACGAGGAAATATTGAAACGCTAGTGATAACAACCTCTCTTCCTGTTGCACAGAGACATCTGTGGAATAAGAAGGTTTATTTTTATGTAGGATTTAGTTGGTCTGGTCCCAAAGCTTTTGATGTTTCTCTGGAGGAGACTCCTTCATTGGAAACACCGAGGCAGATTACGTCTCCCCCTGGATCTTCAGTCAAAAGCAACAGTGGACAAAAATATCGTGATGTCAGCAAGCATGAAGACTATCAAAAAAAGATGCAAGAATTCAAACATCGCCTCGAAAATGTTGAAACGCAAAAGAAAAAGAAAAACCTAACGAAGCAAAAAAAGGTAATCCATATATATATATATATATATATATATATATATATATATATATATATATATATATATATATATATATTTATTCAGAATATCGTTTTGGTTAAAAGAGTTTAATAGAGTAGTCAAACGCAGCTTTTCAATCTCGTCGCCTGCGTGGCGTAGTGGTTAGAGCGTTCGCTCTAGATTAAGGAGTTGATCCTTACGTTGCGGGTTCGAATCCCACTGTGGGACGTGGAGACCGGTCCTTCGGATGAGACCGTATAAACGGAGGTCCCGTCTCGCAGTAGGTGCTGGCACAAAAAAGATCCCTCACTGCTTAATGGCCCTAAGTGCCGAGCACAGGTCAAAATTTTCAGCTCTCAACCGGCAAGTGGTGGCGTCTCCATATGAGTGAAAAATTCTCGAGAGGGACGTTAAGCAACAACAAACAGACATTCTGATTTGAAAATTCTAAACGTTCTCCTGCCTCTTTTTGCAAAATGATTACAGCATGAAGTATTATGGACACAAGGGTCTTTAATTTGTTGTTTATATACACGTGACGGGGCTTTAAGTTTCCTCCTTTTTCCAATGTTGTATTCTTTGCAAGTCTGACATACGATACAGTAGAAATATTTTCAGATTTTCCGTTAATTCGTGAGTTCGTTTGAATTTTAATTTTATTTTATTGAATATTGAACTATAATGTTATATAATCCTTTTTGTTAAATAAATTGAGTATCTTTTTCGCTGATATCAATATGCTCATTGGTAATTTCATTTTGTCACTTTTTCAGACTATATAGTATCATTATCTTATCAATTTTATTTTCAGAGAGAGTTGATCATGAAAGAGGACAAGATCAAACAAGAAAGAGAAGAATTAATGAAGAGAAGAGAGGAGTTTCTCTCGGGGGCGCCTTCTACATAGTATTTCCGAATATCTAGGCCAATATTCCGCTGGATGACTTCAATGTGAATGACTATGGATGCTCACAGAGGAAAATTTCATTTTGATCCCAAATATTTTTTTTCAGCAAAGGTTGTTTTACTACAGAATAACCTACATTATTGTAGCTACAACTGCATTTCACATAAGATGTCTAATTGTGTATTATTTGCAAAAATCATGTTAACACATTTTGTCTTTGGCAATGTGAACAATCTATAATATATGATCAATAAACCCTAAGTATTGATTACATAATAATACATGTATACTACATGTAAACTATTAGTGGATATGTTTATCAACCAACCTGTATGTCTGGAAAAATATGATATTTTTGATAAAATTATATTGTGAAAAGACAGTTACTGGAAAATATGTAAAAAGTCACTCTCCGGTTTTAAGAATAACAGAAAAGATGTGAATAATTTAAGAGTCAAAGCTTAAGGAGAGTTTTTCTGTTCGAAGATTTTCCAACACAGTTTGTCTAATTGTCCATCCAACTGGTTTATTTTCATTTTTTGACTTCTTCTTTAGCACCGGTAGAACAATTGTAACTAAACTTGCCACACAGCATTGATACATGTAATAAGAATTCAAGTTTTTTCACATGAAGGGGTACACTCATTCATTTTATGTTTTGAAATAGCGTAAAAGAGGTGGGTCAATGAGAAATGTTCTCAGTATCTCATTGTCATTAAAGACGAAAAATGTAAAAATGTAAAAATATGAACACTTCCTTAATGTGTGTTTATACAAGTTTTTACAAATCCTGGCCCTGGGGCAGGGTGGTCCACAACCGTGTTACTCAATATAGGGAATAAACAGGAAAATATTAAAAATCTTCTAAAGAAATAATGTCCATAATAAGTCATATTAAAATGCACACATTCTCAGGTAATTTATAATCGGACCATAACCCCGGAGTATGGGCTAAGCTACGATAGGAGATATAAGTTCAACGAAGAAATATATAGGATTTTTGAATATCACCTCACCAAATTTTTTGCATGAGAAAAAAAATTACTTTTCATATTTTCCCTGGATAATATTTTTATAATCTAAGTAAATTCAAAATATCCTTTACGTTTTAAATATTGAGAATGTTGTGTTTTGATATGTTCCATGACATGTAGTATGTTAACCGAAATTAGAGACACTGCTACAATATTTGATTTATTAATCAGTGTAAATATATTTAGTATATCTAGGACCATTTACTTTGTCAATAAATGTCATTATCCACAAACTTTTTGGACGATCTTCGTATAAAAAGTAACATCTTCCAAACCAGCAGGCCATATTGGTAAAACTGGTACTTACCATGCCCATGTACTTTGGATTTGTGTTTCTGTGAATTATAAACCATTTGGGCTAGGATGGGGCACAATATTGGTAAAATTTTTCACATGAATATAGCAGTCATTAGGAGGTGTTCACAGATAAAGAAAACGTTAGAGGCTAATGATATAAGTGATTTATGTTGCATTTTGTACGAATTTACCAATACTTGTTTTAATCATTAATTTCAAGTGAAAGAGAACAAAAACTGAATTAGAATAAAGTATGGGATACATTGATGACTTTTAATTTGAAGGACGTTACCACTGCCTGGAGTGGAGATAATTGCACTCCATCATCTACTAAATCACCAGAACTGTATCCGTTGCATGAACTTGAGAGGTAACACAGTGAACTGATATTGTGGAATATAACTAATTTTGATCTATACCTAAGAGTGACATGAGAACATTGAATGCAAAGGGAACAATACTAGTGGAAAGTACTGTAGCGTAGTTAAGAAATATATTCATACGTACATAGTAATGTAAACATTTATTGGACACATATTCGACCAATATTATCGATGTTACTACGTATAACCTTATATCTTGGAATTAACCTCGGGAACAAGAAGAAGATGTCGAGGAACCAAGCATGCTGTGCGATTAAAGTTATTTAAGTTATTAATAATGAGATTAACAAGATGTAAACAATGAATAAGTTCAAATTATTTTCAAAGACTGAGGATATTTTTTAAATAAAAATGAGAATAGTTTTGTAGACCAATTCCAATATTGTGAGCAAAATGAACTGTTTCGAAGCTTAAAATCATGTTCAATAACTGAGAATTTTTACGCAGTTAGAAATTTCCGCTGGGAAATTCCTAACTGCGTGGGGACGAATGTAAATCTAAAGGGCTTAGAACATTTGAATACTTTAAGCTTGGAATATAGTCATATATCATAATAATTTTAGTTATTAACAGTAAATTTATTAGTAACAGTAAAATAAAATAAAAGTTTTTAAAAAGAAATATCGCAGCATTGTAAAGGCTACAAAAAGGGGGAGGGACCTAATTTATACGGGAAATGTTTACTGTAATATCACACAAAATAGGAATTCTTCAAAATACCAGAAAATGACAACTGTATATAAGAGCAGTGAACTACATCAAAACTTACCACTGCATTCATTTTTGTCGCTAGTTAAATCCCACATAACAGTCATAATATCAACAAGTCACTGATCGGAATGCACTTGTCGACATGACGTCATCCTGAAAAATCTGACACATTTTATTTGCAGTATATATAAATTCGATCAGTGCATACTATCTATTCAAGAACTAAAGTCAGGTACTCTTCACACAATTGCTCTGCAAAAATATAGTTCCATTCATGATCAGCAGATACAACATTACAACAAAAGTTTAGAAAAATGATGTGTACATGTGTATGTAATAAGTGAAAGAAAACAAAATTAACGTAAAATGATTTTAAGAAAATCAGGTTTTCCCTAAAAAATGCAGATAAAATGTATTCATATCCCTACACCAGCTCTTCGGTTGATAATGTTAAATCTTTTCACCAATTATATTACTTTTTTGATTATTGTTAGTTTATTGTCGTTCATTATCTTCTGAGAGAGAATGTTATTCATTAATTGTGTGTGTGTGTGTGTTTTCTCATTTTTTTAAATAACGGAATGGTGGAATGGTTATACAACACCTGCAATCGTAACTTCTCGGCCAAACGTGTTTTTCCGAGCTCGCCAGAAAGGTCAGAGAAGATGCGAATGACAGTCTCATCGCACGTGTGTAGACCTAGGCTATTTGGTCTTGCAAGCACGGGTGTGTGCACTGTTTGCTAGTGACGCTTACACTGGTAACAGTATTTGCTATAGACATGGAGAACTATACAGCAGTTCCATAACAAGTGCAGTTTTTTTTTCTCAGAAATCATCTGAGCAAAGTGAAAATTCGAGTAACTTGAACAGGTTAAAAGTCGAATACCGGTATCTTGGATATGGGGTAACCTATTTCTATTCTTTTTATGTCAGGTCCTCCCCCCCCCCCCCCTTCAACTGAAAGTGCATCCTCCGAGCGCGCCAACTGGATGCAGAAAACTGATGTAGATGAAATTTGTCCTATCTTTTGAAGTGTAACTATTGAATATATATATATATATATATATATATATATATATATATATATATATATATATATATATATATATATATTGTAGATAAAACATTTGTAGTATCAAAAATGAAAAAAAGTCTATATATAAATATATTAAGTGTTAAATGTCGGATTCTATTCTATGATGAAGGAATATGTGATGCTCCGCAACCGCTGTACAGTTTCTGTACAGAGATTTTGCACCTTTCACAGGTAAGTTTTACACACTGTACAACGGCCCGTCAATGCATTCTTGGACGAGTTCATTGGTTACTCTTAAAGGTGACAGAGCATTCTATATTTAGAGGTCGCGTCATCAAGCTAACACTAACCTCTATCCTAGGACGCATCACAAGCAAAATTTCGCTTTTTACTCATACGCGGCGGTAAAAAGGAAACGTAAACAATCCGCCTGTTAAGAAAGATAACCAGCTAGATTATATTTCAAATATGCGTTATTTTTGTGAATGTCGCGTTTTATTTTTATAAATTATGTTTAGTTACATGTTAACTGTTCATTTAAAAATACAATACTCGAAATAAATAATGGAATAAACTTTATATTTTCTACTTTCATTTTCGTCTTGATTTCAACACGTGTTTATGGATTAGGAAATGGATTTTATAAGAGAAACTGTAAAAGCTGTTGGCTTTAAAAAGCCTTTAAAGGAAGAGCAAGTTTTGTGTTTGTCTTACATTTTAGAAGGTAAAGACATATTGGCGATTCTTCCCACTGGTTATGGGAAAAGCTTAATTTTTCAATTAGCTCCTCAAGTAATTATGCGGAGCAGGAACATTCCGGCCTCCAAAAGTGTAGGTTTAATAATTACACCATTGAACAGTATAATGCTCAATCAAATACAGGCCTTACATTCAATGGGAATATCAGCATGTTCCTTGGACTACTCTTGTAGTAAGGCCCAGACATTTCAATACGACAGGGACAGTGATGAGAGCGGGGATGATGCTGACTACTGTGACAGTCAAATCTTGACAACTGCCCCTATTTCAGATATACTGGAAGGGAAGTATTCCCTTATCTATGCACACCCCGAGGCACTGCTTAGCTGTGCTCAAGGCGAAAGACTGCTAAAGCAACTTCAGAAAAGTGAAATGCTTGTTTGCATTGCAATTGATGAGGCTCACATCATACTAGAATGGTAAGATACAATATTATTCTTGAAATCACTTTGTTGACTGTATAGAAATTACCAGTCCTTCTCCTAGGCGTCTGAATTTCTATCAATAAGTCATACATATATTATGATTAATAAGAGTAAAAATCTATACCCCCTCTACATATAATATACAGAAGGGGGTGTTAATATATTTAACTATATATTAATTGTTCTTTCTGCTTAACCAGAATAAAAATTGACTTTTATTGCAGAGAATAATTTATTTTCAAAATAATATTCAACAAAACATGTAGGTGTTATAAACTGTAAAAGCTGTTGGCTTTAAAAAGCCTTTAAAGGAATAACAATGTTTATCTTACTTTTTCAATTAGCTTCTTAAGTATTATTAGGAGCAAGAACATTCCGTCATACATATATTATACATTGATAAGACATATCTATACCCCCTCTACATATGATATACCGGGGTGAGGGATGAATATATCTAATATCTATAATCAATCATGCAATGCTAGGAATTTAAAGGCCTAAAACATGTAGGTATTGATGTTATAAATGCAATGCTGTGTTACCTTAACTAGCAAGTAAATCTTTTCCCTAATCTTAGCAAAAATCACAAAGGTATATATGTCACTTGTTTACTACATGTACTAGGAATGCAATTTCATGTGCAATGTAAAATGGTCACAAATTATTGAAATCAAAATCCTCAACTAGCAGGAATGATACAGAAGTCTAATTAATCCACTAACTAAATCACAGGGAAATTATGATGATTAATATATATCTTAAGATTTGATGATCATCAATATTACTAGTTTTAAGATATGTATTGCATTTCAATATGTCAAAACAGACTAACATTAGAACACTGTTAAAATTGCTACACATTATTGTTTATATCAATCAAAAAAATCTAGTACATGAAAAATGTACACAAGCTATTCTCATTCATCGCATATAAAAATGCATGTTACCAACTGTGAAATGCTGAGTAACTAAACCTCAAAATCCTGTTCTTCATTATTAAGATCACATGCGGTTCTGTTTAAAGTCCGTTTACTGTGCCTTGTAATAAAATCTCTGAGTTTAAATTTATCTACATTGTTAACAACATTGTCTGAAGACCCCGAAAAAGCAGGCAGTGCTCTGTTCACATGCACTTCAAAAGGTCTCAACTGTCTCATTTTGTCGAATAAAACAGACAGGTCTTCAACAGAAGACTTCTTGTTTCTCTTACTGTTGGTTGTAATGCCAAGTGATGATTCCAAATCAGAAATCAATTCATATATCACAGGAGCTGCCTTTGATGATCTTTCCATGGCCTTGTCCGTTTTACTTGCACCTAAGCTCCTAATGACATTCTTGACTTGTTTAATGTTATTTTCCTGCTGCATATCTGCTGCCTTGTTCTTACCAGGTTTTCCAGAAACATTGACAAATGCACCTAACTTCACTCTTACACTTTCGAACTCGGAAAGAATATGTTCCGTTTTTGCTAGAAAATTAACACATTCAATTGCATATTTCGATTTGAAGGATGTCAGTCCTATAAACAAAGGAATGAAACGTTTCATCAAAACTGTCAATCTGTCAATATCTCCAGCCTTTATTACATAGTGGAGCAGCATCAGATCCATGCTTGCCCTTAAAAAGCTGAGCGAGTAGTTGTAAACGTCATCACCGATATAAACAGGACTCCTTGCTTCAGGTGGTACATCTATTCTAACTTTGTCCCCTGTAGTAAAAAAAGAAAAAAAAATATAAGTTGCTAAAGTCCTTGCACGAACATTGGTATTAATGATTTATTTTCAATATTTATATTCAAAACTCATTGGGAAAGTGTACCCTTCTAAATAATCAAAATTGTCATTTACCATTTATGTTTACATCTATATTCTTCCCTCTGGAAGAAGCTGGTATTTTTAGCATGTATAAACCACCCTTGTACAGGACACGTATCTCCACATCACTCATGTCTGGAGCCTTGTAGGTGTTCATGATGGTATCTACAACTGGTTCAACAAAACGGTCTAACCATTCAATTTTTTTGGCGGTTTTCCACACTTTGATATGCTCTGGCATCTGAATATCTGATGTTTTATTCTGTATCTGTTGTTTTTCACACATTAATTCAACTACCATTGCTCTGAAAGTTAACAAGTAAATTTAAACAATTTAATTTCACATAAAGTCAAATTGTTATTGCAACATGCATCAATTTAAAAAATAATTAAAACAATATTTCATTGAAGTTCAAACAGACTACACAGAGATACTGCCCCTGCAGCAGTCTTGAAGGTGGTAGAAATGGGTATCAATTGATTCACAAAAACCATCTGATGAGTATCCATTTTTGGCTTGTGTATTACGATACATTATATACACATTGATTCGTTGTAATTTTACATAGAAAATATTCACAGAGGTATAACAAACCAATATGCATCAAAAGGAAAGAGGGTTTCAAAGTCAGTAATCAATAAAGCTTACCTTGCAACTGTGTGTACAAAATCTTTATGGGGTTCAAACCCATTTGTGGACTTGACTTGGCCATTTACATTTGTTCTATGTAAGACTGCTTTATAATTTGCCAGAGTTCCTACTTCCCTTGATGATTTGCTTGAAAAGAAGTGGTTCACAATTTTCTGCAAAATAAATTCATATATATTAACACAAACATACATACACAGCACAATATATACACACAAATAATATTCCACTTTTAAGCAAATGTAAAAATACATTCTTCTAGCTTTACTTTAAAGGAACAATGAATAGTACACATGAAGCTCAACACTAGATCCTACTTCAACCATACTTGTGTAACACATTATTAAAATTAATATGGACAAGAAAAGAAATTAATTAATTTGCCCCCCCCCCCACCAAATAAAAAAGTAAATATATACATGTATTTTAAGAAAAAATATTACCAATGAAAAAAATTCCACATATTTTAGGGGAGCTGAATTCCGAAAGGATTTTTCCAGGATAGGAGAAAATTTGTTGTCAAGATTTCCAGACATTCCTGTTATGGTGTTCACTGCCACGGCTCCTCCAAAGGCTCAACAGCTAATTATAAGGAATCTTAATCTCCGAAATCCCCAAATTATTTCCATTAACCCTGACAGGCCAAACATAAAATACAGCAATATTATGCGACCACCATCTAGCCAAACTGAGGAGCATTTAGAAGAGATTTTAATACCAATTGTGGAGGGGCTTGCCACTGAGAAGCAAAACTACCCGTTAACTATTATGTATACAGATACAAGTGTTATAAGCTACTGTTATACATATCTAGAAAAGAATTTGGGCAACAGACAGTACATTGGTGACTCTATTCCTGAAAACAGAATCTTTGCACAATACCACCAAACCTATACCGACAAAATGAAATCTTTCATTGTGCAGGAAATATGCAAATCTAATAGCAGAATTCGATTTGTGATGTGCACTGTAGCACTAGGAATGGGACTGAATGCCTTGCATGTCAGACATGTTATTCACTACAAGCCTCCAACAACAATTGAAAGATATTTCCAAGAGACTGGCAGAGCAGGACGGGATGGAGAACCCAGCTATGCTACCCTTTACTACAACAACACTGACATCAGATCAAACCGACCAGGGATTGACAAAGCAATAGTAAAATATTGCAAAAACACATCTTCTTGCAAGAGAGCTGTGATGCTAGAGTGTTTTGGTTTTCAACCTATTCAGGAAAATCAAAATTGTTGTGACTTTTGTGATTCAAATCATGGCCAGGAAGCTTCAAGTGACTGAAGTTGAAGTGAAACATATATCCTCTAAGAATCATACCTCAAGTAAATCCTGTTCAATATGAAACAGTTCTTCAATAACTGGTGAAAACTGTTCTAAACGATCTGATCGACTGTGTGCTCCAGCCCTCAAACTGCGTGCCGAATCAAACGTAACCCTTGTCAGCTGGTCACCGCCCAGTGGAATTGTTGCCGTATTTTCAAATTCATCATCTATGAAATCAAAAATAAATAAAATTCAACCATCTGTTTAAATGTATTGTTCAGAAAATCTTAGGAGACATTATTCAAATCTGTATTAGAAATAACATCGATGAAATTTACTCGTCACTATGATGATCATAAATATGTTATAGTAAAATCATTAAAATATGTATATATTGAACTCTTGTTACACAACTGTTCAAAGAAAATGGCCTTCTTCATAGAAGCATACAACAGTATTATTTTATAAACAGAAAATGAACAATAAATATTGAAAATATTATCTGAAAAGTTTCAACAAAAATAAGACCTCAATATTCAGATTGACCATAAATGAGCAACCAATGTGAAAGCAATTTCAAAGCTGTTTTCAATAGTACATTTCTGAAATGGAAAACTATTTAGACTAGATATATGTAACAGGGTTACCTGGTGCACTTTACATAAAATTGACAAATAAAATTAGTTGTTTTAGATCTTTATTGCTATATTAAACTTGAAACTTCTTTAAATATTGAGCAAATGCAATGAATATTGAGATTTTATTTCTGTTTCAAATCTAATAAGGGAATGAAATATTTTTAAAACAATATTTTCATAAACAGCCAATCAATACTGAAAATATATAAAGAAGTGAAATTTATCAGACTAAAACATCATCCTAAAAACCTTTTTTCACACATTTTTGTGCGGATTGTTTTAAACATAGTTACTAAGTAACTATAAAATGTGACATGTATAACAATAAACAAACAAAGGAAAAAATTAAACTAGAACAGGTTGAACATTGGTACCTCTCTGTGCATCATGATAAAATGATTTAATTGTATCATGAATGATGCTCATGATTTCCACACAGTTTGGCAAATATTTAGGATCCTTCATAATAACCTGTCAATGTATACTCTCTTTTTATATTTTTTATCCTTGCAGAATTTTTTTAAATTTACATGTAGGTACATAAGTTTTCCAAACCTATGGTTTTGTTTGTTCAAAGAAGGTGCAAGGTTAAAAAAAGTTCTCACTTACAAACATTGGGTGCACAAAAGAAGCCCTGTCAGTTATGCATCTATAACGGTGTTCTAAGACACTGAGGACTTTGTCTTTGAAGACAGAAAGAGACGTAAACTCTTCGGTAAGGATCTTCTCCACCAACCAAGTGTAACTACTCCTGGAAAGTTAAATACTAAAAAATATATACCCCTGGTAATGCAAAGAAATACTTACAGAATCAAATTTAGTAGTACACAAAGCCTTTTACCTAAATTGTGATAACTTTTCCATGCTAATAAATAAATGTACATGTATTGGAATTTCAATGCTCTTAATAAATGCTACATCTTTGAAATTTTCCAATCTCAGAAGGGGAAAATAGAATTATGAACTTGCTTGAGAACGGCACACTCCTCGTCTGACAAAAAGAAAAGATTTGGGTCTAGTCCATCAGGTGGTATGGCCTTGGGTTGTCTGCTGAGTTCTTGGACATCTATAGGTAGTAACCTGTCCACAAGTATTGTCCAGTGTGTATAATGGTAATCTTTATTACCACTGCCAACACGAACCTTCAATAAAAAATTTTTAGTGAGAAATGTTAAATCAATGACTGTTAATTTTTTTTCCTAGTTAATTGAAATGTGCTGTGGTAACAATGTGTTAATATCATATGTGGTTATACCTGATTAGCTTTAATTCTGCCATCTATGTTATCCACTGTTACTTTAATAGTCCTACCATTTGTCAGAGCTGCACATACACCTTTCCCATTGATAAGGCCAATATCAGACAACATGGGTATCTTGCTCCTCTCTGGAAGGGAAATGCCCATCTTGCTTAATAAATGAAACAACTGAAAGAAAAAAAGGAGCTCTTTTAAGTACCAGCCATAAGTATCTTCGCTGGTCACAACACATGGTGAAAGAGGGACACTGTATCATCACCCTTGGCTATCTAAATGAGCATTATGTAAATCAGTCACAATTAATAATATTATACTTTCATGTAAATTGGTTGAATCTGATTCTTCGAGAAACATTTGTTAAAATACACTATTACCCGCTGAATGATGATGCCACGCCCTCCAGCGTAGCAACAGTCAACATTGCTTGTCGATGGATGATATTAAAAAAAATAGTGACTGCACAGAATTCATGTGCGCAAGGTTCACGTCATATGTATTTGTATAAAACATTTAGTATAATATAATAAATATTGCATGTAGTTGTGTGTGACATTGAATATTTTCACCCCTCGAAAACCATTGTCAACCTCAGCTGCGCCTCAGCTGACAATGTATTTCTTGGGGTGTAAATTTTCAATGTTACACTCAACTACATGCAATATTTATAATGCCTAAAACATGTAAAGATCTGTTTGAAAAAAAAATCTGCTTACCCCATTTCCTGCACCATATCTGATGCATGCAGCAGACAATAACTTTTGCATTAGATTCATTTGGTTGTTCCTTGCATTTAAAGCAATGCTGTACATTGCAGCAACGGCTGGATTCTTTTGTGTTGATTTGATGTGCATTGGTGTGCACAGACTGACTAGAATATCAAATACACAGGGGCATCTTTGGTCCATTTCTCTACATATACTTTCAACAAACAGCTCTGGCGAAATGTCAACAATTTTCTCCCTCAAAACACTTTTTTTCACTTGTGACACACATTCTGTCTATTTCAAGATTTAAATCCATCACAAATTTTGTCCAAAATGCTTCACGGACATCAGGTATCATCAAAACTTTGTCAACAAAGTCACACAAATTAATAATTCCCGAGGAAATAATTTCCTTTACCTTGTTCAATGGGTTATTACTATTTGTCGAGTCACCAAGAACATCTGTAGTAGGACTCGCTGTCCTTGAAGAACATTTTATGGACAAAGGGTGGTGTTTGACATACAGTTCTTCCACGTTCAACTTTGGCTGGCCTGCATAGCTGTGTTCACTAACTTCTTTACACTCTTTTAGATTTTCTTTATTGCAGGATTCAGGATGAGAAATAAACAATTTCTTTCCACATTTTCTGGTAATGTTAGACAATGAAGTAACTCGTTTCACTTTGTCTTTGGGGGAAACGGAATGAATAATGACTCTTTTTTGTCTATTCTGATGCAAAGATATATTAGCGAGATTCATTTTACATTTCTCACGAAGGTCTCTAGTTTTTGTAATGATCAGTCTAGTCGAACCCTCAAACGGGGGTATACCCCCAAACGAGGGTTTTCCGTCCCGTCATGCAATGCGCAAGAACAGTAACTCTTGCCGTATCCAACATAAACAAACTTGCCTTTATATCATTTATCTAAGGAAAAAGATCGATAATAATGTTATTTCTGCTATGAAATTGGAAAAATTTCAACAGGAAAAAAATTGACAGGTTAAGTTTTCCATAGTTTGAATTTATACTGTAGGAATAACGAAATATTTTCCGTCATTTCATGAAATTATTTATTATTTTGTAGGACGTCTCGTGGAATTTAAAACACAAGGAAAAATATTCTAAGAATGAGGAAAATATTAATTAGAACCTAGATTTAAATAAAAAAAAAATACAATCGTGTTTTCTCAAACAATCATATTTATTAATATAAAAAAAAAACAAACTACAACAACATGTTGCCAAACATTTTATTTAATTCTTATAAGATATAAAAGACAATAAATACGATAGATTTCATTTGAATTTTATTTTTATATGTATTTTTGTTACACTTCCTGGGCATGATTATCGATAATAAAGACCGTTGATTGCTAGTCAGAGGAAACGCGGACTGAAACCCACGATCATAAACAATTCGATATTAGCACCATTTTTTCTTGCATTTTATTATGAAAATAAAAGATATAATGTAGAATAATACATTTTTTATATAATTTCAATTTAGTATTAGTTGCTTATGTCTGTTTATCGAATGTTTTATCTTAAATACCTGCATGTCAAGGAGCAAAAGATCGCCAACTTTGCCAGTGAATAAATCCCGATTTGTACAATAAAGTTGTATTTTTGTAAAATACAAACTCTAAAAACACCTTTAATCTATCATTTCCGAGTGGTTTTACATTTGCCAAATAATCCGTTACTTTGCACCGGCGATTTTTGTAAACCCCTACTTTTTGCGTGAAATACGCACATTTTTAAGCATCTGCGCATGCTCGTACCCCCGTTTGGGGGTATGGATTTCCCATTTCCGTTTACCCCCGTTCGGGGGTTCGACCAGACTGATGATTGTTAGACATGTGTCACAAATATAAATGTTATCAAGGTTCGGAAAATTGACGTCCAACACCGATAAAATGTCTAAGAAAATGCTTTTTAAGGCTATGTTTTTCATTAAACGCACATGTCCTGAAGTACTCTTACTGCACACAATGCAGGACTTCACCTGCTTAACTGGTGTGGCAAAATTCATCTGTCCTGTAACTGGTAAATCTTCACCTTACTTTCCCGCCATCTTTGTTTACATTTCGTGAAAAGTAGTCCGTACCCAGCATACTATGCGCGATGTTACACAGGTTGATGTGAGGATCACGTGACCTGGTGTACACATTGGGTGACAGAGGTTAACCCATCGATGACATTTCCTACAATGGTCTGCCTAATTTGAGTGATAGTAGTTTAAAGCACAAGATTAATTCTAAATTCTTTCCCTGATAGGTCTATAGTTTTTTTTTCCTTTTAAATCGTATATTAATGTCTGGTAGGGGTACCCAGCGCAGTCACGAAATCAAATGTTGAAAATATATATGTAACACCAACGTTAAAACTCCCGGTGGACCAATAGTAGAATCGAGCGAGAATAAATCTTATTATTTTCCAATTTAAGTTTGTCTTCATTT